TGTCAGGCTGCCCACACTGTGGAAGAAGGCACCCCTTTCTCCATCCCCAGCTGTCATCCACAGACACCAGACAGCATCACTCCTCATCTCATTGACTGGTCCTGTGGTGATATTTTGTTTGTGCTTTAACAAATAAAGTTTGCCTGAAGATCAGACTGCAGAGCTAGCCATGCTAGTTCCCATAGAGGCCAGGCAGTGGTGGCACACACCTTCACTCCCAGCACATGGGAGACAGAGGCAGACAGATCTCTGCCAGGCAGTGGTGGCACACACCTTCACTCCCAGCACATGGGAGACAGAGGCAGACTGATCTCTGTGAGTTCAAGGCCACCCTGGGCTGTATGAGGTTGAATCAGTATAAAAGAGACACAGAGCTTGGCAGTGGTGGCTCACACATTTAATCCCAGCCATAGGAAGATGGAGATGGGAAGAGATATGACTCGGTGGAGAGAGGAATATAAGGCCGGAAGAGACAGGAACTCAGGATGCAGTCTGAGGTTTCATAGAGATGGCATTCATTCTGAGACAGGAGCTCAGCCCATTTGGTCTGAGGATTTTTTTAGAGGTAAGAACTAGTGACTGCTGTTCTGCTTCTCTGATCTTTCAGGTTTCACACCCTAATATCTGACTCAGGGTTTTTATTTAATAATACCAGTTAGGATTCCATTACATTGGTCCAGAAAGTATTTCTTTTTCCTCGTCCACATGCCAGGCTGGGTCCTTTTCTCCCAGAGCAGTAGTTCTCAACTGTAGACAATTTTTCTTTCCAGGGGACATTTGCTGGTCCAGAGATATTACTGGGGTATCTGTGTGTGTGTGTGTGTGTGTGTGTGTGTGTGTGTGTGTGTGTGTGCCCTTGCAACATGGGCTGCACCCTAAAGGGGGTCTCTAGTCCTGTCAACCCCAGGCTTCAAGCAATCTCAGCAAAGTACAATCAAATGTAATGTCATAATCAAACTCACCATTTTGTAAGCTAAACAAACACAGAAATAAAGAAGTAAAATGGTCACATCCCTCCATTGCCCGAGCTGACCTTGGCTGAGAAACTATGAGATAGGTGGGGAGAGGGGCTGCCCTGAGGTCAGGGAGGGTCAGGATGGAGAGGTCAGGTGTGGAAAGTAGTGGACACAGTCCTGCGCTCTGTGGGTGATCCAATCCCTGGCTGCAGGGGGCTCTGTACAACCTGGTTCTGCTTGTGCATCAGGGCTTGGTTACCCCAGGAAACTGAGCTTCTGCTTGAAGCCCTGCACAGAATAGTGTGGGAGTTTAATAACTGTGGGTGAGGGCGGTGCTTCACTCAACTCCTTTCCTCTCCCACAGGGACTGCAGTTCCCGCAACCCACAGGTCCCCGCAACCCACAGGTTCCCGCTCTCATATCTGAAAGGATTTCACGTCAGTCTGGCCGTGAACTCCAGTTGTCTTAAAATTTTGCCCTAAGTCCCTAGCCCAGGAGCGTGTTTGTCTTTGTGTAAAAACAATGGCATGCTAACTGTAGGCAGACAAGGTCCTGCACTGTCTGAGACCACCACACACAGGACTTTAAGGGAGAAAAGCAACACCTATTTGTTCAGGATGGGAGCTGTGCACTGGGCTTCTTCAGAGCTTCCCAAACATTTTCACTATGTAATTCAGGTTAAGCACTGAGTTAGAGCTGTGTTCAATTGACAAAAATGCTGTGCAGTTTTGTACACAAGGGCACATAAATAAACGGGCACTTTTTATTCCAGAGAAAAGTCTGGTGTCTTCTGCCACCCCAGCTAGCTTCTTTCCCTCTGTTCTATCAACACATTTGTATTCAGTTTCTTCTTGTCCTGTGGCAGAGGGCATTATCCAGCACCGACTCTTAACTTTCCTGTGCCTCAATTTCTTCATCTGCAAAATGATAAAAATGAATCGTACCTTCATCATTGCCCCAGGGCTTAGGATGCAGGCGCATTTACCCATGAGGTTGTTTAACCTTGTAGAAATGTTTCATATGAGAATCATCTCCCTCCCTCCCTCCTCCTTCCTTCCCTCCCTCTCTCAGGCTCTCTCTTGTTCTCTCTCTCTTGTTCTCTCTCTCTCTCTCTCTCTCTCTCTCTCTTGTTCTCTCTCTCTCTCTCTCTCCTGTTCTCTCTCTCTCTCTCTCTCTCTCTCTCTCTCTCTCTCCTGTTCTCTCTCTCTCTCTCTTCCTCCTTCCCCCAACCCCACCCCCGCCATGGCCACTTTGAGGGAGCTTCAAGGTCTTTGGAGAACTCGGTGGTGTCTGTGAACTCGGGACCCCAAACTTGGCTTGCATTGGAGTAATTTCAAAGTTAACTTCGAGACTGTCCCCTGAAAAGGACAGAACACAGAGCCAGCAGCGTTTCCGCAGAGTATCTGTGCAATTGCTGATGCCAGGGAAGACGCTCTGGCCGGTGCACTCTGGAGCTGGGACCTTTGCAGTCAGTTAGGCTGCTTGTCAGCAGAGCAGCTAGCAGGTCTGGTCCTGGGGCCCAGACACTGACTGACCTGCAGCTGTGCACCCTGAGAGTCCAGTGTGCCTCCTCCCTCCACTGCGCACCTATCACAGTCCCTGAGCGCATTGCCCTGCGCTCCGCCCACCTGCAAATGCCTGCCCAGTCAGCGACCGCCCCAGCCTGGACAGCGCCTGTGGACCACCTGAGCAGGACAAAGGTAAGGGAATCCTGAACACCAGGGGGAAGGGACCACAGGGCAGGCCGGCATCCATGTGTTCCTTCTTTCTGTAAAATGAAGGCAGGAATGTTATGGAGCTTGTGGGAGCCTGGGTTCACTGACAGAGTCTTGTATACACATGAAGTTGTGTTTCTGGGTGGGTAACAGCATACACACATACATGAAAGCTACGCATCATATGGACACAGCATTTGCAGAACTCTTCTGCCTCCTCATCCCGTTTCAGTTCACAGGTTTCTAAGTTTACGGGACAGAGTCAGCTTTCAAATAATGAAAGCTAACAGAAGAAAGCTGCTATAGATATTTTTTTCACTTTTCTATTTGTTCTACCAACTTAAAGAAAACATATATTTTTTTTTTTGGTCCTATGTGTATATAGCGTCGTCTTCTGGGTTTGTTTCTCCTTCATTTACTACTTCTGCCCTGGGTCAAAGGATGGGGGAATAGGTTTTAATGAGATGGGGTCTGGGAAAAGGTCTTGCTCCAGTCAATGCTGGGGTGCCCAGTGGTTGCTCTTGTCCATTTTCTGAATGTAGGGAATTCTTGTTGCATGGCTGAGGTCTATACACACTTTAATGCCCATTTTTTTCTTTCTCTTCCTTCCCTTCCTTCCTTCCTTCCTTCCTTCCTTCCTTCCCCCTCTCTCCCTCCCCTCCCGCTTCTGCTCCTTCTTCTTCTTTGTTACAGGGTTTCTCTTGTAGCCCTGGCTGTCCTGAAACTTACTCATAGACCAGGTTGGCGTCAAACTCACAGAGATCTGCCTGCCTAAAGGCTCTGCCATAACTGCCGCCACCACCCAGCTTGCCCATTCTGTATAATGAAGTTTTTCAGTTAAATTATTGCTTTGGAAAAGGAATACAACTGAGTGGTAGAGAAATCCCTGGCATATGAGAGGCCCCAAGCTCAGTCGTAAGAACTGAAAATAACTACAACCAAAAACCTATCTGTTTACTTGCCTGTCAATCACCCATCCAGTCTTGTGTATGTTCCATCTATCTGCCTTGTCTTTTTCAGTTTTTGTTCTCTTAAAAAAAGTTTGAGTAATATGCAAATTTGTCTTCAAAGAGATTTTTTTTTCTGTCCTTGACAATGAAGGATTTTTTTTTATTAAGAAAAGAAGAAAAAAAACATAAACAAAAAACAAGTTTCCACCTCCTCCCAGCCTCCCATTTCCCTCCCCCTCCTCCCACCCTTCTCCCCCTCCTCCCACCCTTCTCCCCCTCCCCCCACTCCTCTCCCCCTCCCTCTCCAGTCCACAGAGCAGTCCGGGTTCCCTGCCCTGTTGTAAGTCCTAGGTCCTCCCCCCTCCGTCCATATCTAGGAAGGTGAACATCCAAACTGGCTAGGCTTCCACAAAGCCAGCACATTAAGTAGGATCAAAACCCCGTGCCATTGTCCTTGGCGTCTCATCAGCCCTCATTGTTCGCCATGTTCAGAGAGTCCGGTTTTATCCGAGATTTTTTTTTTTTTTTTAAGGAGTGACTGTGCACGGGTCTACTTAGAAAAATTAACAAGAAAGTCTAATTCTGAGGAAGAAGCTCAGGGCAAGGCTGTTGGCGTCAAGTCCCGGAAGAGATCTTGGGAAGCAGATCTTTCTCCCTCCTCTCCACCCCCAGCTTGACCCAGACAGTTCTTCCTTTATGAACGTTCCTCTCAGCAGATGTTCCTTCTTTTGTGGGTTGTGGGCAGGTGCTCTGAATAAACAATGGGCTTCTCTGTCTGAGACTGGACTTTATGAGATGAGGCCAGGTGTTCTGACATGCTGGGGAGTCTCCTTTCAGCTGGGCTCTCCTCCTTCTGTTCCCACTTGCTGGTTACAGGCAGTGGTCAGGAAAGGTTAGGTCAGTGCAGAGGACCCTAGGACTTCCATAGGCGGTCTCTGCTAACCTGAGCCTGACCTCGGCCTTAAACTCTGAGCTCAGAAACCTGACATCTGTTCACATCTGTTCTGTTTGTCCATTTAACTGGGCATCAGATCCTATTTCTCCTGGGTTTTCTGGTCCTGAGAGCCACTCCTGGTTCCTGTGGTCTTGAATAGCTGCCTGGTATCTTCTGTCCCCAGTACATGAGTTGACTGAACAGGATGTGATCCTTCCTTGAATATGACAGAGCTAGTGTCCTTTTCCTGACTCTAAGTATCAGCTACCAGGAACTCACTGCATTGTCATTGCCCCACCCTGGGTTGGGTGAGCTGAGTGAGTGTGTATGTGCATGTGTGACTATGTGTGTGTGTGATTTATGTATAGGGGTTGGGGTGGAGTTGTGGATGAGGAGGGTGAGAATGGGAGTTGGGGAGTGGCCTCCAGTACCCAGTTGGCTTTTCTCCTGATCCCTATTGCTTGTCTCTGCTCACTTCTCTGCCATCAGGGAAGCACAGGACTGGCAAGGGATCTTTCCACTTCTCCTGATCTCAGTCTTGGGGATTGTGCTCCATCAGCCTTTGCGACTGGCCTCCTGTGGGTTTGGACAACACTTTCCTTATCTTCTGGTAAGAGGGAATTATCTGAGCCCACGTCTGAATCGGCAGAGTGAAAGGGTGGGTAAGATGGATGATAGAGGTTTGGGTAAAGTTACCTAATCTCAGTTTAAAGCCAGGATCATGAGATTGAGTGTCCCCAGACTGAATTTGAAATAACTGATGACCAGCTGTCCTGGTAGTCGTATGGCATGAATAGGTTAAAGCCTGGACTCTGGAAACCACAGTCCTTGGGTGCTAGTTATTAAGATAGTTCATATTCCCCACTGCCCAACTAAGGGAGAGTGGGGGGTAGTGATGTTCCAGACCAGATTCATGTGGCCTAGATGCTACGTTGACATATCAGATGAACTCAGGCTCATTATAATTTCAATATAGAGATAAAAACACGCCATCCCATGCTGAGAAAGATCTTAGCTTGTCACAGCCCTTATAACTCAGCCTGAATGAGTGGCCGTTCAGAGCGCACACTTGCTCTGGGAGAGAAGAAGGGTCCTTTGGAATCTAAGTTGACTGTGCTTATCATTGGCCATCTAGTCAAATTTCTAGGTGGTTCTCTGAACTGGTTAGCCATCTGTATGTTATACCGAGTAGGGAAAGAACCTGCAGACCCAGCTATAACAGAGTTTTTGACAAAATTATATAAAGCGAGGACATGGATGATTCAAGGTATGGCTGAGGGGAAGGTTCTTATTGTAGGCATGAGGAGTGAACAATTAGAGGCACCTGGAAGAGTCCAGAGCAGGGACAGGAAGTAATAGACTGAACTGAGCTTTGAGAGAAGAGAGTAATGGGGAAGTAGAGTGAGAGAGGAAAAGTAGAGAAGAAGAGAGGAAAGGAGAGGAGAGGAGAGGAGAGGAGAGGAGAGGAGAGGAGAGGAGAGGAGAGGAGAGGAGAGGAAAGGAGGGGAGGGGAGGGAAGGGAAGGGAAGGGAAGGGAAGGGAAGGGAAGGGAAGGGAAGGGAGGATAAGAGAGAGGGGAGAACAAAAAGAAGAGGTCAAGAGGGGCTCATGGATGAAATGGCAGGGTTATAGAAGAAGAAGCTGGGGAATGGAATCCCCTGAGCTGGAGAGGATTAGGGGCAGGGTTAGAAGAGCTGAGAGGAGCCACAGGAACTGAGTGAGCTTGGAGGTCAGATTGTGCTTTCCATTGCTAATAGGCATCACAGAGAGCCATTTGTCCCTAGTTTGTTTGTTTTTTTGTTTGTTTTCAGAGATAGGGTCTCTCTGTAGCTTTGGAGCCTGTCCTGGAACTAGCTCTTGCAGACCAGGCTGGTCTCGAACTCAAAGAGATCCACTAGCTTCTGCCTCCAGGGTCCTGGGATTAAAGGCTTAAAAGTATGTGCCACCACCGCCAGGTAGTGAGTTGAAAACCAAGACCAAGGGTTCAGAATGCTATATAAAGCTATTCCTTTGGTAAAGATATCATCCAGACTTTTTATATCTGATTTTGAACATCATCCCACATCCTCAGTAAGAGCTAGAAGTCATTTGGGACCAAACAGGGCTAAAAATGTAGTTGATCACTTCCTCATTACCTATGTACTCATGGAGACAGAGGAACTCGGGCACATTAATTCAACCTGTACCTCAGGTCTCTCCATTGACACCACAGAGGCTGATATTATTATTTCTCTGGGTGCACATGAAGACGATATGGTCACACCTTTCCTTGTGATACCAGCGTTAATGATTATTGCAGCATTGCCTCTCATTTTCTAAGTTCTCTGCTGAGTTTTGCTTGGTTATGGAAAAAAATAAAAAGCTTCTCAAATTATGAAATAACTTGGTCTTAAGAATAATTTCCAGTTAGTATAAGATATATATTTGGGGCTCAGTAGACTAGCAGAATAGAGGACAGACTTTGGGGCACAGTGGCGAGTGTGCTGACTCAGGTTTGGGCTCTCTTCCATGTAGCTTGTTCTCTCTGTCTAAACTCCCTTCCCTGTGTCACTGTTCAAGGCTGTCTGTTCTCTCTCTTGCAAGACCTCATTTCTCTGTTCCCTGGGGGTGTGTTAATTGCCATGTGTTAGCTATGCAAGTTCCCTGTTAATCTCCTGGGTCTCTGGCAATTTTCTATGTCCGTTGTGTTTTGCTGACTAAATATTCCTCATTTCTCTGGGGAGCAGGACATTTATCAGGCTCCCCTTTGATCCACTTCTGGGAGTTCCTTTTTCCAGATTAGCTGGCCTGTCATTCTTGTTTAACACAGGCAGGATCACCTGGTTAGCTGCCTCTGTAGATTACAAGTTAGGTTGACCATTCTGCACTAACTCCCTTTTATATGTGTTTTATTCAAATTCTTCTCAGAGCTTCAATGGAACCCTCCATGTATATTACAATCTACTTCTTTGTTGTCCCATGTTATAAAAAATGGGGAGAGGGATCAGGCAATGTGAATAATCATGATGGCAGATTGCTATTAATGTTATTCTTACCAAAACAGGTTTTCAAGGCCACTCAGGTTAGGAAGGAATCAAATTTATACTCAAAGTTGCAAACTATTTCAGGCTGTAGAAAAGTCAGAGAGTTGCATACAAGCTATGTGTGAGCATGTCCCTGTCACATGGGTGGCACCTGCTGTGACTTATAAGGTGAGATAGTAAAAAGTGAGTTGGTCATAAAGTGTCGCCTTTCATTTCTCTCCCTGCCTTTTACCCTTTCTCCCTGCTCTGGATCCTTCCTCCATCCTTCCTGTGTACGTGTTCATATCTCTATGTGTGAGTCTGAATCTCACATCACTATCATAATGCTTTTGAAATTTGCTGGTATTAAGCTGTAGTGCTAATTTCTGCATTTTCATCACTATTGCTAGATATCTAGATGTTTTGCATTTTTATATAAAACAGAGTGGTAGGCATTCCTGATCTGTCTCCTCTTGCACAACTGTGTGATTTCCTGTAGATTAAGGATCTATCCATATGAGTGTAATTGACTTCCAGGGCTGTTCTAGATTGGTCTCAATCTGTCCTAGATCCTGAGGGATGTTACTTGAGAGGGTAGGGGCTGCACTAAACCACACTCCCACCAACCATATGGTTCACCACAGCTTGGCCAAGACTTAGACTCTCTGGACCTTTGCATTTGTATTAATAGAAAAAGTAGTAACTCTGTCTCATTGCTTTAGTATTCTTTTACCTAAAGCAGGTTGTGGTGCACACCATTAATCCCAGCACTCAAGAGTCAGAGGATGGAAGATCTCTGTGATTTCAAGGCCAGTCTGGTCTGCAGAGCAAGTTCTAGGACAGCCAGGGCTACACAGAGAAACCATGTCTCAAAAAAAGAGAGGAAGAGGACAAAAATATACATTACCTGATTCTAGCATAGCTGGCAGTGTTTTCATTAATATATAGGTCTTAGCCTATGATTTGTCTGTCTCTTGTTTATAAATCTGCCATCATCATTTATTGATTGATCTATCCATCTTTCAACTCTCTTTGTATTTATCATCTATCCACCACCTATTAGTCTTCTGTCTTCTATGTATCAAGCACTTGTCCATTATCTATTCATGATATATATTGTTTATCTATCATCTAATATCAATCTGGTGAATCTATCAATCATCTTGTAATCTATCATCTACCCATCTCTATTACTTATCAGTAGTCTATCATGTATGTTTTCATCAATCTATCTTCTATTTATAATCCATATAATTTACCTAACTTCTATTGTATATCTTTTTGGTATATCTATTATCTGTCTGTCATCTATCTCTGATTTAAAATCACATATTTTTTCTCTTTCACCTACCCATATTTCTATTTATAATCTATCCCCATTTATCTGTTTATTCATCTATTTATCCTATCTATCTATCTATCTATCTATCTATCTATCTATCTATCATCTATCATCAATCATGTGTATCTGTCTCTTTGTCACTGTGACCAAATACTTGACAAGACAGAAGTAACTTGAGAGGGAGGATTGCCCTGGGATCACAAGGGAGAAGGTACAGTCCATTACAGCAGGGACAGCATGGAGTCAGGACCAGCTCCTGTCTCTGGCAGCAGGAAGATGAGGTGATAGTCAAACCATACCAACCAGGCAACATAAAGCTTAGGTGAGAAGGAAACCAGGCTACAATTCTTAAACGTCTGCCCCCCACTCTATCCAGCTATGTTTCTACATCAAAGAGCCCATTGCCTCCTCAAGACCTGGCCAGAAATTGAGGACCAATAATTTATTAACATGGGGGACATTTACCTTTCATATTAAGGAAGTCCGTCTACCTGCCTACCCCTTGGCATTGCTCTTCTGTGAGGGATCTGTTTTTACCTTCTGTTCTCTTTTCATTTTGATGCCTTTTTCTTAGTGGTTGCATAGACTTGTTAGAGCCTTCATTTACCTGTGAACACTATTCCCTTAGAGCCCCAATTTTCACTGTGATGTCTGCTATACAGACATATTAGTCCAGGTGACCTAGAGTAGAAACTTGTAGAGACCAAGTAAGTCTTAGTTCAAAGTCCCTGAGTGGCTGGCTCCTAGTGAGGTCTCTCTTCTGGTTGCAGACTTCCATTTTCTGTCATTTGAAGGGCCTGGCATTTCTCTGACTTTCTCTTCTAATAAGTCAGTTGAATTAGGGCCCCACCCTGGAACCTCATCATCTAACCATAACAGCTTGAAGGCTCTGCCATACTGGGGTCAGCCTCCGCTATGACTGTTAGGGGAGGCACCATTTAGTTCATGACGTTGGTCTCTTTGCCTGTATCTCACCAATACATTCCTGACTTATGACTGAATGGCAGGATTTGCAGGCAGCAGATTTCCCTCTGTTTTCTTTGTAATGTGCTGGTCAGTTTTTGTCCTCTATGTGAATTTCACTTTCACTTGTCAAGTTGAGTTAAAACTGTTGTCAGTTTTCAGGATCACTGTTCTTTCATCATGTAATTTGCTGACTCCAAATCAAATACAACTTATTTATTCATTTTAATTATTATTATTATTATTATTATCATTATTATTATTACAGGTTCATAATTTTCAGACAGTGTTCTTGCTCTATAG